AACTCCCTTCTCCTCTCTAACTCCCCTTGTCCTCCATGCTATTTGTTATGCTCCACAAATAAGTGTACTCTTTAAGCCCCATACCCTGTATCACCCATCACCCCATCCCTCTGGTAATGATCAGTTTGTTCTCTGTAAAGAATCTGTTTCTTGTTTTGTTTCTTTTTTCTTTGCTAGTTTTTTTTTCCCTTAAATTCCACCTATGAATGAACTTATATGGTATTTGCCTTCTCTGACTTATTTCACTGAGCATTATACTCTCTAACTCTACCCTAATGTTGTTGCTAATGGCAAGATTTCATTATCATTTATAGCTGAGTAATATTCCCTTGTATATATACTACATCTTCTCTGTTTATTCATCTATCAATGGACACTTGAGCTGCTTCCATAGTTTGTTTTCTGTAGTATTATTTACAATAACCATACAGGTTCATGTATCTCTTGAATTAATGTTTTTGTTTTTTGAGGGTAAATACCCAGTAGTGCAATTACTGGATTATAGGATAGTTCTATTTTTAATATTTTTGAGGAACCTCCATACTGTTTTCCAGAGTGGCTTCACCAGATAACATTCCCACTAACAGTGCCTTAGGGGTCCTTTTCCTCCACATCCTTGGCAACAATTTTTCTTTCTTGTGTTGTTAATTTTAGCCATTCTGACAGGTGTGAGGTGACGTCTCTTTATAGTTTTGCTTTGTATTTCTCTGATGATGAGTGATATTTGCCATCTGTATGTTTTCTTCAAAGAAATGCTTGTTCATGTCTTCAGCCCATTTTTAAATTGGATTGTTTTGAAGGGTATTGAGTTGTATAATTTCTTTATATATTTTGGATACTAACCCTTTATCAGATATGTCACTTGCAAATATCTTCTCCTATAAGTTGCTTCTTTTGTTTTATTGGTTGTTTCCTTCGCTGTGCAGAGCTTTTTATGTTGATATAATCCCAACAGTTTCATTTTTATTTTGTTTCCTTTGTCTCAGGAGACATGTCTAGAAAAAATTGCTATGGCTGATGTCAGATTACTGCCTGTACTCCCTTCAAGGATTTTTATGGTTGCAGGTCTTACATGTAGGTATTTAATCTATTTTGAGTTTATTTTTGTGAATGGCGAAAAAAAGTCCAGTTTCTTTTGCATGTGGATGTCTAGTTTTCCCAATACCATTTGTTGAAGAGAATTTTTCCCGTTGTATATTCATTCTTTTGTTGAAGACTTGTTGACCAAAGAATTGTGGATTTTTTTGTTTTTGTTGTTGTTGTTCTGTTCCACTGATCTATGTGTCTATTTTTATGTCAGTACCATACTGTTTTGATTACTATCACTTTGTTTTGTTTTTTTTTTTAAGATTTTATTTATTTGACAGAGAGAGATCACAAGTGGGCAGAGAGGCAAGCAGAGAGAGAGAGAGAGGAGGAAGCAGGCTCCCCACAGAGCAGAGAGCCCGATGTGGGACTTGATCCCAGGACCCTGAGATCATGACCTGAGCTGAAGGCAGAGGCTTAACCCACTGAGCCACCCAGGTGCCCCTGATTATTATCACTTTGTAATGTGACTTAATATCTGGAATTGTGAAACTTCCAGTTTGTTTTTCTTTTTCAAGATTGCTTTTGATATTCAAAGTCTTTTGTGGTTCCACACAAATTTTAGGATTGTTTGTTCTAACTCTGTGAAAAATGATGTTGGTATTTTGGTAGGGATTGAATTAAATCTGTAAATTGCTTTGGGTAGTAAAAACATTTCAACAATATTTGCTCTTCCAATCCATGAACAGAGACTGTCCTTCCATTTCTTTGTGTCATCTTGGCTTTCTTTCATCAGTGTTTTAAACTTTTCAGAATATAGATCTTTCACCTCTTTGGCTGAGTTTATTCCTAGATATTTTGTTGGTTTTGGTGCAATTATATACGGGATTGTTTTCTTAATTTCACTTTCTGCTGCTTCTTTATTAGTATATAGGAATGCAGTAGATTTCTGTACATTGATACTGTATCCTGTGAATTCGTTTATCAGTTCTAGTAGTTTTTGGGTGGAGTCTTTTGGGTATTCTCTGTATAGTATCAAGGCATCTACTAATAGTGAGTTTTATTTCTTCCTTACCAATTTGGATGCCCTTTATTTCTTGATGTTGTCTAGTTTCTGTGGCTAAGACTTCCAATACTATATTGAATAAAAGTGGTCACAGTGGACATCCCTGTTTTGTTCCTGATCTTAGGGGAAAATTTCTGTTTTTCACCATTGAGTATGATGTCAGGAATGGGTTTTCCATATAAGGCCTTTATTATGTTGAGGTTTGTTCTCTCTAAACCTACTTTGAAGAGGGTTTTTGTCATGAATGGGTATTTGTCAAATACTTTTTCTGCATCTATTGAAATGATATGATTTTAATCCTTTCTCTTATTGATGCAATTTTATATAGCTTTTTAAAAATGCTTTATCTTATAAATTCTAAACTTGAATTTAAAGTTGTTTATATACTACCATTATATAAAGTGGTATATATAAAATATATAAAGTTATTTATATACTATCACTCTATATACCATTATATACTGTGTTACAAGATTTTGGTTTTGCCTATATATTTTCTTATGCTTTATTTTTCTGTCTAGTGTTCATTCATTTTGACTTGAAGGTCTCCCTTTAGCCGTTCTAGTAAGGCAAGTGTATTGGTGATAAATATTCTCAGCTTTTGTCTTGGAAGTTCTTTATTTCTCCTTCATTTTTGAAGTAGTTTTCCAGATACAGTATTCTAGGCTGGTTTTTTTTTTTTTCTTTCTTGCACTTTGAATATATCAAACCAGTCACTCTATCCCAAAATGTTTCTGCTGAGAAATCCACTGATATCTTATGGGAGTTTCCATATAACTGATGAGTAGCTTTTCTGTTGCTGCTTTCAAGATTATTTCCTTGTGTTTGGCCATTTGATTATGATGTATCTCAATATGTGCCTCTTTGGGTTCACCTTCATTGGTGTATTTGGAGGTTCTGGAATATATTTGTTCATTTCCTTACTCAGATTTGGAAAGCTGAAAACTTTTCTCTCTCTTCTCCTGCTGGGACCTCCACAGTGCTTATATTGATCTACTTAATGGTATTCGGTAAGTCCTTTAGGCATTTTTGTTTTTCTGACTTGATAATTTTCATATTACCTATCTTCAACTTTGCTGATTCTTTCTACTGATCAAGTCTTCTGTTGTATTTTCCTCCAAAATATCTTTTTGTTTCTTTTTTGTAGCTGCTCTTTATTAATATTCTCATTTCATTCACTCATCATTTTCCTGATTTTATTTAGTTGTCTGTGTACACTTATAATGCATTGAGCTTCTTTAAGACACTTATTCTGAACTGTCAGGTAATTCACAGGTATCCATTTCTTTAGGGTCACTTCTTGGAGGTGTTTTTTGTTCCTCAACTGGGCCATATTTCACTATTTATTTGTGCTTCTTGTCATATCTTGTTTTGGATTTAGTACTACAGCCACCTCTTATGAATTGGCTTTGTATAGGGGAAGACCTTCACCAATCAGTCCAGGTAGAAATCATGGGGGCTTCTCAAACCTTAAAGAAGATATTTCTTCTTTGGGCTTGTGCATATAATTTCCTAATTAGGTTTCCTGTTTCTTTATCAGTGGCTTGTAGTCTCTTGCTCACTCTGTTGTCTCCCAGCAGCACTGTAAGTTTTTTGGTGCTTCAACAAACCAATGAGCTCTTTTATTCTCTGCCTGCAGGTGTCCATGTTTCATCAGTACTTTAGATTCTGTTTCACCTGAGTGAAATCTCTTGGGGATATCCCAGAAAAGGAGGAACAATGAATGTGCATTCTGTTTCTCTATTTCCCTCTCAAGAAAGAAGATGCAAGTTGGACTTGCCACCTGAATATGAGCTGTGAGAGTTTTTGTTAAGTATAGGATTCTGGATTATCAGTTGTTTTATTTCAGCACTTGAAACAGATCAGATTTTCTTCTAACTTCCATGGTTTCTGATGAGAAATCCACTGTCATCCAATTGGTTTTACACTATCAGTAAGGCATCATTTGTTTCATTGTTTTCATGATTTTTTACTTGGTGTTCAGTGTTCAGAAGTTTGACTATGATGGGTCTTGTAGATTACTTGTTCATTCAACTTCTGAAAATCTATAGGATCATGTCTATTGCCAAATTTAGGAAGTTTTCAGCTATTATGCCTTATGTGATTTTTCAGCCTTGTTATCTTTCTTCTTTCCTTCCTCGTAGACTTGCAGTCACCAGAGAAGAGGAAAATGTGTGGCTCCTCATTATTGCTGGGTGGTGTTTGGAATTATGGTTCCCACATGATCTCCTCTAACAGTACAGGTGATGGGTTTCATTACCACCCAGCAGGGGTTAAAAGTTCCCTATTCAGTTTTTGCTCAATGTCAGAAACTGATGCTCCCCTCTTAGCCTCTGGTGGAGTGGGTTGTTCTAGGCCATAGATTTTTCTGTGGTGATTGGATTATTTTTTAACAGTTTTCTGTCTTGATAGGTCCCCTTACCTCATCCTTTGGCAGGCTTTTTTATTGTTTTGTGTGTGCCCACTGGCAGTTCTAAGTTCCCAAGTACTTCAGCTCCATTTCTGGGATATATGGAGCAAAAAGAAAACCTAAGAAACTCACCATCATGTCATTTCTGGGGTGTTGGGGGGCCCTAGACATCATCACTTCTCTCCACCTTTTCCAGTCATCTTATGTTTTTTTTTTTTTAACATAATACCCAGGGCTTTGGGTGGTACTTAGTGGGAAAAATAGGAAGAAGTATATCTGTTCCATATCTCATAAGGACAGCCTCTTATAATCTTTTAAATATCATGCATATCTGTTGTTATGTCTATTTTCATTCCTAATATTAGAGCATGAAGTCAGTTGATATAGGAAGTAATAATATTTCTGGTACTTCCTAGAACACAATTATAGGAAAGTGTAAAAATTCAATAAAATCTTTTGTTGATTAATTGGTGGACTCACACATCACATCCCACTTACCCAGTAATAATAATTTCTGGATATGTTTGTGTTCCAAGGTTCCAAGCTCCTCCACTGATTGGCCACTCCTAAATAGATTATTCAGGAAGAATTTATGAGTTTTATTTTTTAAATTTAGATAACAAACTTTTTAAATGAAAACATTTGAAAATAATGGCAAAAAATTCACTTAAAAAGAAATAGCTGTAAAGTAACAAAGGATGAAGTGTGCAACTAGCTTTTAATTCTTTCTTTGGACAAAACAATTCCAAATGCACAATTCCCTCTCCTTTAAAAAAATTAATTTTAGCAAATATTACTATTTATTTAACAAGTATTTTAATCATACAACCACAGTGTTGCTATATTTGTCACATAGTCTGTGTGCCACCAAACGATATAATTCTGCTTAACACAGAATACTATGTAAATTGTGCTCTCTTGAGTTGTCCATTCCAACAGCCTTGTGCAAACAGAAATCATAAAAAGGGAGTCTATTGCTATTGTAAGTATTTGAATCCTTTAAATACAACAAAATGTCATTTAGAAAATTATTTAACAAATGACTGTTAATTATGTCTTATTAACCACTGAATAACAATTAACTGAAAAGAGTTGACTCTTGAATTTTGAGAAACATAATCATATAAAATAATTAAAAACTGTATTTTATGATTCAATTATATGCTAATATAAATATATACGATAGATAAGTATATCTCAGAGTGTATGTATATACTAATATATAAGAAATGTATACTCTTATAGGCTTAAAGCTGTGTAGCATTTAAAAAATTTTAATTTCACAAGTTATGTCTTTTACAGACAACAGCTATGGCCTTAAAAGAATTTAGTTCAAGTCTTCTTATATGGAAGGTCAGAAAAGAACAGGAAATAGTATGATCATATAATATGAATATAAAGAAAACTTATTTTTCATTGTTACTTTTACCTTATTACTGTATCCTTGTTTTTTATGCTTGACTCCTATAGAGTAGAGTACTAGAATCAGATCTGGTGGGCAATCAGCAAAGTATGCTGTGCATGTAACTGGTGATTCATGAATGTCCATTGGATACGGATTTTCAAAGATTGGAAAACTAACAGATGAAGACAACATATTAGTGTTATTTTGCAAAGATTAAAAAATGAAATCACTTTTATAAAACCCTAAAATCTTCTAAATATTATACATTTCACTTACTTGTTTAAGTATCATAAAATAAGGATCAAATACATGAACAAGAATGCTCTTTTAAGATTATCTGTAAAATGTAATATGAATACAGGTATAATTTTACTTGAATAAATTCTCTGTCTTTTCTGTAATTCCAAAATTCCACAGTGACACCACTTTGGTAATATGGGTAGAATGAATTTTATGTTAAACTGAAAGTGTATTCATCATGTTGACTTATTAGTCAATGCATTAAAGCATATTAGGTGTTTTATCTATGTACAGTTTCATGTAAATATAAATGTTAAAATATCTTAGTAATTTAATGCATTTTCCAGTGAGGTAATACATATACAAGTGTTTCTGTTTTTTTTTCTTTTGGCAGGAATAATTGAAAGATAATTTTCTGTTTAGGTGTCTGTATGATTATATATGCTTAAGATAATTTCCAAAGTAATCTAGAGAACATCGTGGGAATATAGACTTATGGATATGGTATATTTCATATACTCAAGCCTACCATAATTTTAAAAATGGGTATCAGTATAGAACCACATTAAGAATTCTTATAGCCAAAATATATTGGCTATTAAAAAGTAGCAAAATGTCATTTCACATATTTATATAAACTAATGAAAAGTGTAAGAATAAATGTATATACTGAAAACACTGAGTATTAAAGCTATAGTGGGCCTTGAAAGATATTAGCCAATTAATATAATTATATATAAAATATAATTAATATAATTAGTGTAATATAATAATATAATTGGTTAATAGTAATTAATATAATAAATTCTTGGTTAAGAAACCAAGAAATATGGCACAGAAAGAAGAGTACCACTGAGATCAGAACAGTATATTTTGATAAAACCAAATTAGAACTTAGAGGAATAGACATAAATCCATACATGTATATGAAATTTAATTAAGTTTAATGTTGATAAATAGAGTAGCCAGGCAAAATCAGTGATGATGATCTTATGGCCCTAATCCTATATCCCCTTCAAAATACTGAAATATTATATGCTGCAAATGAACATAAAAAACTTGGCTCTGGTATATTTTGGTAAAGATTTATTTATTTAAGAGAACATGATAGGGAGGGACAGAGAGAGCATCTCCAGTAGATTCCCTGCTAAGTGAGGAGCCCAGTTCAGGGCTCAATTCTACAACTTTGAGATCATGACCCAAATTGAAATGAAGAGCCAGACACTTAACCAACTGAGCCACCCAGGTGCCCATTTCTGACATTTTTAAATGACAGAAAGTAGAACTCAGGCTGTATGTCATTCAACAAAAATTTACTGAGAACCAACTCCATATGCAGACAAAGCTCCTCCTTCATGATACCTACAGTCTAGTAGAGAATCTTTAAAACAATTGTAAACAAATGGAAAATTTTATCTGGGTCAGAGCTATGAAGGAGAGGAGCAAGGGAAGTATGCAAGTCTGGAATAGGATATTTGACCAAGTTATATAGGCAATGAAAAAAAATTTAATGAAGTAATGATATCTGAGTTGAGTTTCTTACAGATAAGATGCTAATAAGAAGAAAAAGGAAGGGAAAATTAATACATGCAGAGGAGAAAGAATGTACAAAACTTCTGCATGTAAAGGTCTAAGAGAAGATCAGTGGGTCTAGAGTACAGAATGAGGGAAAATCAGAGTCAGGAGAAAGATAGCAGAGTAGTAGGATCCTGAGCTTACTTTGTCTCATGAGTACACCAAGATAACAATGACATCTGTGCAACTAACTCTGAAAATGATCTAAAGACTGGCAGAAGAGACTTTCCATAGTCAATTGTAGAGAAGAGGCCACACTGAAAAAGGTAAGAGGGGCAAAGATGTGGTTAGAAACCAAACTCCTGATAGGACTAAACACAAATGACAGGGATACCAAGCATTGGGAAGCAAGAAGATTATACCCCACACCAGGCATCCCAGGCATTGGGGATCTGCACTGGGAATGGGTTTAACTCCAGGAAAGCCAGAGGGAGTAGGAAATTGAGCCTCTGCCCTTAAAGATCCAGCATAATAAAAAACCCCACTGAGAAACAGCACAGAATCAGTAGTTTGAAAATTTACTAATCTCAAAATGTGCAATGGAGGGACAGTGATCTTCAGGAGACTTCTCCAAGAACAAGTGTTAGTGGGTGTCATTTTTCCTCCCATCCCCCAGCCTAGATAGCTGGACACTTGCAAGGCAGCCCTAACATTCTCTACCTATCTTTCTAGCACTGTGTGCCCTACCCAATCCACCCCACCTGCCTTTGCAGGCATCACTGCAAAGCAGCTCCTGCCCCTCTATATCCTGCAATCATCCATGGTAGGGACCAGTGCCACTCCAAAACGACTCCTGCCTTGGGGAGAGAGGGAGATAACCCCACACAACAGCATGCCTACAATTCCAGCAACCAGGCCTTTTAGTGACTATGCAGAGAGAGAGCCCTGTTGGTCAGTGTACCCACAGTTATTGTAGAGACTGCAAATACCTAGTCTAGTTCTTGGCCCACCCATCAACAAAAGCCTCTGTGGGCCAAACAGGATAAAACCTTGCTACGGGGTGTGCCTCTGCAGAGGCTAACTGTAGACAGGCTGACTGTTGACCTTACCCACCTATAAGCCCATAGAGACCTTAGGCCCCTCAACAGCACAGGGACAAAACCCTGTCCAGTGCACTCAAAGCAGGCAAAGTGGATCACTGCTGATGACTGGGCTGAGGACAGATACTGCCCAGTCACAAACTAGGGTGTACATAGCCCTAGAGATTATCCCCCAGGAGCATCTAGCTCTGGTGACTAGGGGAATTATCATGAAAAGGCACCACAAGGCCTCTTCCTCTACATAAGGCCGTGATTTTCAAGACCAGGTGATATAGCTGACCTCCCTAACACAGTAAAACATAGAGTTAGACAAAATGAGACAGAGGGGATATGTCCCAAAATCAAAGAACAAAATCACAGCAAAAGACCTAAGCAAAGCAGAGACAAGCAGTATGCCTGATAAAAAAGCAAAGTAATGGTTATAAAGATATTCATTGGACTTCAAAAAAAAGTGGATGAATTCAGTGAGAACTTCAATAAAGAGATAGAAAATATAAAACAGAGCCAGGCAGAGATGGAAAATACAATAGTTGAAATAAAAACACACTAGACAGAATAAAAAGCAGATTAGGATAGGTGGAAGACAAGATATTGGAAAGGAAGAAACTAACCAAGAATAAAAAATATGAGAATAGGTTAAGGAAACTCAGCAACATCACTGAGTATTAACATTCACATTATAGGGATCCAAAAAGGATAAGAGAAAGAAGGAGGCATAAAACTTTTTTGAAGAAATAATAGCTGAAAATTTCCCTAATCTAGGGAAGAAAACAGACATCTGATACAGGAATCACAAAAAGCCCCTAAGATTAACCCAAGAAGGTCAACACTAAGACATATAATAATTAAAATGGCAAAAAGTAATGGAATTTTAAAAGCAACAAGAGAAAAAAAACAAAACAGTTACATAAATGGAAATCCCATAAGGCTATCAGCTGATTTTTCAGCAGAAACTTTATAGGCCAAAAGCTAGTCGCATGATATATTCAAAGTGCTGAAAGGAAAAAACAAGCAACCAAGAATATTCTGTCCAACAAAGTTACTGTTCAGAATAGAAGGAAAGAGAAAATGTTTCCCAAACAAAAGTTAAAAGAGGTCATCACCACTAAACCAGACTGATAATAAATGTTAAATGGAATTCTTTGAGTGGAAAGAAAAAGCCCTAACTAGAAAAAAATTATGAAAGGAAGAAAGTTCATGGGTACAAGCAAACATGTAATGAAGGTAGTAGATTAATCACTTAGCCAGTATGGAGGTTAAAACACAAAAATAGAAAATTATATCTAGAAAACCAGTAAAAGTATATACAAAATAAAAATATGTAAATTATGACATCATATACATAAAACATGGAGACAGATTAAAAATTTAATACTTTTAGAATGCATTCAAACTTAAGCAACCATCAAGTTAATATAAACTGCCATACCCATGTTATATATGAACTTAATGGTAACCACAAATTAAAAACCTACAGTAGATACACACAAAATAAACAGAAAGTAATCCAAGCATAACACTAAAGAAAGCCATCAAATCACGAGAAGAGAGAGAGAGAAGAAGAAAGGGACAGAGAAAAACTACAAAAACAACTAAGAAACAATTTACTTTAAAGGGGATAAATGCTCCAATCAAAACTTACATGACTAAATGGTTAAAAAAACAAGACCCATCTATATGCTGCCTACAAGACACGAGACTCACTTTGGACCTAAAGACACACACAGAGTGAGAGTGAAGGGCTGAAAAACCATAAACCATGCAAATGAAAGCAAAAACAAAACAAAACAAAACCTGGGGGTAACAATACTTAGATAAAAAAGACTTTAAAACGAAGACTAATGAGAGATAAAGAGTCACTACGTAATGGTAAAGGGAACATCCAAGAAGATGATATAACAATTTTAAATACCTATGTACCCAAATTGGAGCACCCAAATACATAAAGCACATATTAACAAACATAAAGAGAAAAAAATTGATAGTTATACAATAATATTAGGGAAATTTACCACCCCACTTATATCAATGGATAGATCAGACAGAAAATCTAAAGGAAATAGTGCCTTTGAATGGCACAACAGACCAGATTCATAGAGATAAATAAAGATCATTCCACCCCAAACCAGCAGAATACACATTCTTTTCAATTGCACATGAAACATTCTCCAAGATAGATCCCATGTTAGGTCACAAAATAAGTCTCAAAAAATTTAAGAAGATTAATATCATATCAAGCATCTTTTCTAATGACAATGATAGGAAAATGAAAACTGCAAGAAAATCTGGAAAGAACAAACATATAAACCAACTATGA